CTCAAACCCCTCAAGCATGTTATTCTTCATATTTTCTAATTCTTTGGTTCGATCTCTTTCTTTCTGCATTTCATTCATAATCTCGCGATTTTCGGCTTTGTGATTTATAATTCGCTCCCTTTTGTCAATCTCAAGATCCTCCATTTTCTACTTTCCTTTCTCAAGGCTTTTGAACAAATAACTATTTTTTCTTTTCAAATCTTCAACTCGGCCTTTCTCGATGTTCAACTCTTTGGTCATTGATCCTAATGCTCTCTGGGATTTGTGTAGCTCATGGTAATTCTTCTTTAACGTTCTGAACTCACCATCAACTTATTCTTTGTTTTCCCTCAACATTGCACATTGTTATGAATGAAAGTCAACATCGACACCCAGCATAGCTTTATTTCGTCTCATTTTTTCTAACTCTTTCGACCAACCTTCTCTTTCTGCTTCAAACTCAACTCTTAAGATTTTAATCTCTGATGAAACTGACCGAATGCCATCTTCCATAGAGATATCCTCATTTTGATCTGGGAAATGAATATTTTCATTTTTCCTGACATACCTCCATTCCTCATAATCAGGATTTAACATTACCTTCGATGCTTTAACTCGAATACATGAAGTTGTTTTCCAAGCTATAACGACATCCATGATGTTTCTTTTGTAATTTTTGCTATGAAATGTAAACTCAGACGAATGTAATCTAGCAGTAACAGGAACAAATTGACGACCCTCGTACTGCCTTATAAACAAAAGTGGTGCATATCCAATTCCTCCCCACAAACCGAGCAGCATCACCCAGTTGTAATCACCACATTTGTAAAAAAATCCCTTTGAATTTTCCACGGGGCAAACCAAACAATATCGTCTCTTTGTAAATTTTGAAGGGCATTGATCCAAATATCTTTCGTGACTTCTTTCGGTCATTCTTTCTCCAGAAACTCTTTCAACGGTGAGTAGTCCGTACTAAAACGATGGTATGAAACCTTTTATGTCCTCCAAAAATGACTACGAATCCATACATATAACAATGATGCACATCCTGAAAATCGTCCACCTCCTAGCCTTGTGTAAGCGCTTAACGATTAAAAAGTCTCTGCTAGAATTGCAGAAGCAGGATTGACCCTTTTTTGTAGCTGCTCGAACAAATCTACTACTGCAGCCTCAATGTATCCCAATACTTTCGGGAATATGACCATACCATATATACCCAGAGGAAAAAGATCAAATCGTACTTTATCATCTAGATGACTCTGTATAATTTCTTTGATGTTGGTCCAAGCAATGCCTTCGCCCTCGCCCTTTTGTTTCGTCTGGGCTACTACCCATTCTTCTCGTACTCCTACAATCTTTGCTAATTTAACTTGGAAAGGTTGAGTTTTAATCGACCTTGAATAAATTAGATTCTCCAAAGCTCCTCCTATATGTAGCAAAGTTGTGTACTCTTCAATAGTAGGAACCAAGTCCTCCTTATTGAAAGTGAAACAATTATACTCTGGATTCCAGAATTGAATCAGGGCTCGCAGTAATTCATCATCAACTTTGACATAGAGCAAATAGGGGATGTCCCCGTAAGCCTGATAAAACTGTAACTTTTTGTTCGAGTCCTAATTCTCCCAAATACCTCGCAGATCCTGCATATCATTTCTTTTTAGAGAAACCAGAGCATAACTTGCTAACTCGGGTACATAATCATCCTGCAGACTGTCTCTCCTTTGTCTTTGTAAGTCCTCAGACCACTGTCTTACTTCTGAGTTTGGACTTTTTATCCATAGATGAAGGTTTTCCAATGAGACGATTAACTCGCAGATCAATACCTTTAATCCTGTATGATGCTATGCAAACCGCAAAAATAAAAGAAAACATAAAAAGAAATGAATTAGTTCACATAATAAAGGAAACTTTTAATTCAATAATAATGTCTACCTAAATATTTCCATTTTAAACATGCTTTCTACATAGCATATTTTAAATAATTTAAATTCACATGCAATTTATTCAGCAAGAAAATAAATAAATAAATAAATTAAAAGGAAAAAATTAGAAGTTATTTCTCCGTGTACACCTATTTTGGACACAATTTCAGCATGGCTTCAAATCGGAAGAGTTTCTAGGGTTTACTATATGCAGAGTTTCAGTTCTAAGAGTAAAGGTACCCGAATTGTTCTTGTTAGTGCCCCTTGGACTGCTAACCCTCAATCCTAGTCCATCACAGACTAAAGTGGATCGAGTTCAATTCGAGGGGACACATTTCCCTATGCCTGACATGAAGAATAAATTCTCATGAAGACATAGAGCATATGAAACCCGAAAGCTACTTGCTAGGTTTGACACGGAGAATAAATTCTCACGAAGACGTCGCTTTCACTCCCACATAAAAGGGACAAGCTTGATTATAAAGCTTATATTATGCAATGCAAGTGATGTGTGTGAGGAGAAATGTTAAAACCTCTGACAAACAAATAAATATAAAATTTAATAACTGAAAATAAAACTAAAAAATAATATATATTAATATATGAAAATAATAAGTATATATAAAAATTTTAAAAAGAATTATAACTTAAATATAAGAATTTTTAATTTATAATTAATAGAGACAACTTATAATTGGTTTTCAGAGCTTGGCCAGGTCCCCAACGGAGTCGCCAAATTGTCGTAACCGATTTTCGCCCGAGTACGAATTTTTACTTGGCGGGAAAACTAAAATGAATAAATAAATGATTTTTATTTTTTAAAAAATAGTTTGGGAGTCGCCATTGACTTTTTTGGGTTAGGTAGGTCAAATAACTAAAAACAATCTTTTAAAATAGTTTTTAAGAAAACATAATTTAAAAGATAAACTGATATGCGTATAACCAAAAATATTTTTAGTAAAGAAGGGATACGTGGTCGACGTTTAGGGAAGGATTAACACCCTTATAACGCCCAAAATTGGTGCTCATTAATTATAAATTGTCTATATTATTGAAAATTTAAAAATTCGAAGATATATTTAATTTATAATCCTATTTATTTCAAATTTATTACTATAATTTTAAGAAAATTTATTAATTTATATATACATATAAATAAGATATTTATTTATTTAGAAATATCAGAAAAGGGCTTCTAGGTTCTTTAAGACAGCTCTTTTCTTAATATTAAAAAATAAATAAATATTAATAAAACATTTATCTAAAAATAATATAAAAAATAGATTTATATATAATTTATAAAAGTAAAATATTTAATTTTATTTAAAAATATCAGAAAATGGACATCCAGTTGCTTTAAGACAGTCATTTCTTAATATTGATAAATATATATTAAAATATGATTAAAATAATTTAAAAGTAATTTGTTAAATTTATAAAATAGATAAATATTATTTATTATAAATATTTACATGACTAAATAATAATAATAATAATAATAATTAAATATATGAACATATAAAATTTAAAATATAAATAAACAATAACTAAAATTAACATTAAATATAAAAAGTAATAAGACTTTTAATTAAATAAAGGTATTAAAATTAATGGCTAAATTATAACATTTTAAAATTAGATACCTAATTTATAAATAATTATTTAATATTTCTATGACTAAACATGTAATTTGTCCTATTTTTAATTTTGGGACTAAATTAAATATATATAAAATTGGAACATCAAATTAAAACAAATTAAAACATGATGTTCATGATTAAAATTTTAATTATTAAAATTATGAGGGCTAGATTGGTTATTTGCCTAAAATATATATTTTATATAAAGGATTAAATTATAATAAATTAAAATTCGAACACTGAATTAAAAGAATCTAAAATTTGATTCAGTGAGTAAATATAATGTTATAAAATACATGGACTGCGGGTATAGTTTACCCATATGTGAAATTACACATATACCCTTCCTAAAACGGCGTCATTTGGGGAGGGATTTAAATACCCCGAATGGTCGGCCCTTCGAGCCATTTCTCTTATTTTTCTTTTATTCCTCTCTCTCTAAAACTGAGAGAACAGAGTTCTCTCTGTCTTCTCTCTAGGTTCCCTCACCTGAGGGAATTCGGTAGCCAGCTAGCAGCCACACACGCTGCCATTAGCTCCGCCGCGGGTACGGTGGCTGGATTTTACAAAAATAACCCCAAATTACAACTTATATTTTCCTTTATCCAGATCTAAGGTGGGTAAATCTAAGCAAAACCATAGGTATCACCTTCGGTTTTCTCGGTGAAACTGACGAGCAGAGTAAGTTTTCTTCTCTTTTTTGTCTTTTCTTGGTTGACTGTGATTGTTGGTAGTGTTATAGTTTCCTCTGTTTTTTTTTCTTTGTTCTGTTCTCTCTGTCTGGTTGCTCTCGTGTTTTTTTCTATTTGCAGGTAAGTCGAGGCTTTATAGACTTCACCAGTGTGGCTTTCGGACCGGTCCAAAGGGAGCCCTTCGGTGAGTCACCATAGGGCATCGTCGTGGAGAGGGCATATGGCTTCTGGAAAGCTAGATAAGGCTGGCGTCGTGGCAGCAGCAGCGTCGGCAGCAACTGGTTGAACCATCTGGCAGTGGAGTGGTGTCGGCAGTGACTGAAAGCTCTTGGATAAGGCGGCGGCGCTGGGGTCTTCTAGAAGTAGCGGCGGCTGGGAGCTAGGGTTTAGAAACCCTAACAGTAACCCTAAACGGGTTATGTCTTGCTGGGCCATCTGGATATGGATTGGGCCGGTTTTGGTTGTGTAAAACGGGCCTGGTTATTGGGCTCCAGGATTGAATGTATTTGGGCTTGCTTTGTAATAATTTATAAAATAATAATAATAATAATAATAATAATTATTATTATTATAATTATGAAATGAAAAAAATTAGTGTTTAGAAAACTCATAAAGATGAAAAAATACATGCATAAAAAGTAAATAATAAGAGTGAGTTTATTTAGGCCCTTGCAGCGTATAGTACTTTCAAATTTAATTATTTTAATGGAGAGCTAAAGACATAAATGTAGAGATCCTACGTTGGCAGAGAGAGTGAAAGCAAACAGCTAACCTTTAATACGGTCATCTGGATATACAGGAACTTCAAAATAGACCAACCCCCGTCGATAAAGAGCTTTTATAATGTCAGGATCAAAATGAACAAATGTATTAGCTTCTTCCCTGCAGATTTTATTTACCATTGCCGTTTCATCTTCTGAAAGTTTCTATAAAAGAAACAAAGAAATGTGAAGGTGCAGATTAGACTAACAATGACAATTAGATGAATCAAAACAGGCATAATATCAAGCTAAACTGATGACACTTTTTAGATAGTAAGGCAAAGAACCGTCAGTAACCTCACCTTAAAGTCTTCCACGGTAAAGTTAACAAGACAAATACGCCACCAAGGTTCAATGGTAAAGTCCACAGGTTGGGTAGGTAACAACTCTTTTGCAATCGACTTGTTCAGCTTCCACATGATTTTCTGGGTAGCTCCAGATAAGTAACCAACAAGTAAGATGATAAAAAAGGTAATATCGTGAATTTATAAATGTAATCTAGTTTGCATAATATAGGACAAATTTGCCATACAAATTTACAGGGTCAATCATTTTGTCTACAACGAAAAATCATCAAACAAATCTATATTGTTGCGAATGCATTTGTGGGGAAAACATATGCTTGAAAGGGACATGAAAGAGCTGCGATGGAGGATGCTGCTTGATGGGGTCATTTGCTCCAATTATTATTACTATTATTATTGTTATTAATATTATTGAGTCAGACTTTAGTATGAGATTATTAAGAATAAGTTATTATATTTATTAGACTTTATTGGTATCTTCCATTCTTAGGAGTCTTCCATAGTTGAATTGCTTGTTTAGTAAGACTTTTAGTTAAATATGGTATATATCTATTTAAAGGGGTGGTTGCATTAATAAAGATTCTGGTCCCTATGTAATCAGTCATCCATAATATCAAATAACTGCTTTTTATATTTGGTAAGTTTACCAAGGGCTATAATCATAGCAATCCGCCAATTCAACTACTTCAACCATTTCGAGAACTTGATGTTATGGGGGCATTTCGTGGATTCCATTTTTTATGTATGATTTGGTTTCTTATGCGATAACCCTTAAAATTGCGAGTTTTTGTGAAAAAGAGAGTTTTCCTCTTTTTTGTTTCATTCCAACAAAGTAAGAAAGTAGCCTGATTAAAATAGGATGTGTTTACAATATAAGAGTCCTACTAGGTGAAGTCTAGAGTTAGATGGATATCGGAGGGCGACCGGAACACTCGTTTTTTCAACACTTCCACCTCAGTAAGAAGGAATTGTAATTTAATGACTTTGCTGCAGGGGGATGGCGCAATTATAGGTGACACGATTAGTATTAAACAAATGATCCAATCCCACCAGGAGGCTTACAATTGCAAATCTACATTGGAGATCATGGATATCAATCTGCCTTTCAAAAAACTAAGCTCGGGTCAAGTACGAGCGCCAGAGGTGGAGTTCTCCGAACAGGAAATTTTCTAGGTATAAAGGAATTCAGATGGGAATCGAGCCCTGGGGCCTGACGGTTTCAATCTCAATTTTCAAAAGAGGTTTTGGCCTGATTTAAAGGATGAAATTTTGCTGTTTTTTTTTTTTAATTTTTTTTACAATTTTGGCAAGCTGGATGGTGGTTTGAATCACTCATACATTTCCTTAATTCCGAAGAAGTCGAGTCTGTCATTGTTGGATGATTACCGACCCATTAGTCTTGTCGGTGGGATCTATAAGTTACTAAGCAAGGTGTTGGCTAACCGTCTGAGACTAGTGTTGGGCACGTTGGTGAGTAATTCACAGTTCGCCTTTATTCCATGAAGACAAATCCTCGATTGTTCTCTGATGCGAATGAAATGGTCCACTTGGTGGGGAAGAGCGGAAAATCGACAGTGGTGTTCAAAACGGATTTTAAGAAAGCTTAGGATACAGTCGATTGGGACTTATTCGAATAATGAAGGAAATGGGATTTGGAGATCGGTGGTGTAATTAGATCCATAACTGTATCTCGACGACTAATATCTTTGTTCTTGTCAACTGATTGCCGACGAATAGATTCCATTTGGCGAGGGTTCTAAGGTAGGGTTTTCCTCTTTCTCCCCTGCTCTTTAACCTGGCTGGCGAAGCGTTACATTTGATAATTACGAAGGCAGTGAATGTGGGGCTGTTTTCTGGTTGATTAGTGGGGAAAGGATCGAGCGTTTTGAAGATCTCCCATTTACAGTACGCCGACGACTTGATTTTGTTCTGTGGGGCCTTTGGAAACTCAAATCCTAAATGTAAAAGGGGTTCTTCGAATTTTTTAAATCGCGTGGGGACTGAAACTAAATTTGAAGAAATGCAAGCCATTCGGAATTAATACATGTGAGCATGATGTACATTATTGGTCGACTTGAATCGGTTGCTTGGATGGTAAATTGTCGACAGAATATGTTAGCCTTCCTTTAGGGGCAAAGCGCAATGCTAGATCACTTTGGGAGCCGGTAATTGAAAGAGTAGATAAGAGGCTAGCAGGGTGGAAATCAGTCACGTTGTCGTTTGGGGGAAGAATTTCTATGATTAAGTCAGTATTAAATAATGTTCCGACCTACTTCCTATCTTTATTCCGTATGCCAACCTCGGTGTATAATAAATTAAACAGCATTTTCTCAAGATTTCTATGGGGTGGAAGGCAGAATAAAAAGGGGATTCATTGGATTTGTTGGAATGAGGTTTATAAGCCGATTGATTGCGCGGGGGGGGGGGCTTGGAATTCTTGATTTAAAGCTTAAAAATAAGGGATTCTCGGAAAGTTGTGTTGGCGTTTTGGTGTAGAAATTTCGAGCCCTTGGAAAAATGTAATTGCAGCCAAGAATAATTTCGACTCGACCTTCATCCTCCATCCTCCCTCCTGGCCCAAAGTCTAAAGAGGCGTCGTGGATTTGGAAAGGAATCCTTATTCCTTAATAACTTCAATGGGGGAAGAAGGAGGTTTTAACTTAAAAGATAATCTTAAAATTCAGGTTTGAGATTGTAAGAGTGAAATTATGGCAAGATGTTTTATAGGCAATCGTCATCTTATGATTGCTTTTCCAAGAATGTTTGCGCTTGCATTGAATAAGGAAGGGCGGGTTTCGGATTTCAGAACCAAATCAGACTTAGGTTGGAGTTTGAGCATCCCGTTAAGGAGGAATGTTTTCGATTGGGTGAGGACTCAATGTACAGCCCTATTCCGTCTTCTTAATGAATTTGAGAGCCCGTCTTTATCTTCAGATAGGTTGATATTGATTGGGTCAAATGATGGCAATATTCAGCCCTATGCTTTGTTACAGTTCCCCAAGTGCCAAACGGAGTTCGATTGGAAGAACACAAATTGGCAGGGATTGCACCATACAAAAGCGAGGCCTTCGTTTGGAGAGTGCTTCGCCAGAGAGTTCCGGTTATAATGGAACTTGTGAAAGAGTTGTTGTTTTGGTGTCGAATAGTAGCTGCCCTTTTTTCAAGAGTGTCAGGAGTCGGTCGATCATCTTTTCTTTTCTTTCAGCGTTTCATGGATAGTTTGGGGAGTTTTTCTTGCTTTATGGAATGTCTTAGCCGCTCTAACGACCAACTGGAAGATTTTTAAGTTTCACATTTTGTTGATGTTGTCACAGCTCCCTCAACTGAAGACATTCTTGGAGGTGGTGCCAATTTTGGGTATTCCTTAGGCTTTCAAGGGGCAAGCTATGTAGAGGCCACTTCGGCACATGCTGATACCACCCAACTAATGTTATGGTGGTGAAGGAAGGCGTTGATTCTACCTTTATGAAGGTTGCTACAAAAGGTGATGAACAGAGGTAGAAGGTTGCAGCTAAAGAAGTTGAGTTGCAGGAAGCTAATGACAAGATAATAGTGTTGGAGGAGGCTAGAGGATCTGAGACAAGAGTTGGTCGTAGCCGGAAGTTAGGCTCAGGAGGTGGAGTAAGCTCGAAGGCAAGATGCGGAGGCCCAATGTTTGTTTGCGCAGGATCTGAGACAAGAGTTGGTCGTAGCCGGAAGTTTAGGAAACCCTCTTACTAAATCTCCTTGAATTAGCCACTGCAAAAACACTCATACTAGCATGTCCTAGTCTCCTATGCTATAACAAACTATCATGCTCATCCTTAGCAAATAGGCATAAATTAGTCATATCTATGGAATCTAAATGCACTATGTAGATATTTTCTAATCTATGACCAACAAGCATAATCAAAATAGATGCAATGTCAATCAATTTTGCAAACACATAATTTAAAAATAAGACATTGTATCTTTTGTCAAATTCATCTAATCGGATTATGCTTTAATCCATTCACATACAAAACATTATGTAATGTTGATTATCGAGATTAAAAGCACATGCATAATGTTTTTGAAAATGTTATGCATTAAAACTTTATAATATTTAAAAAATCTATGTATAAACATTAAGAAAAATTTAAGGTCAAAATTTTGCAAAACCAAAGTTCTTGAAAAATCGATATCAATTGTCAAAGATATATAAATTACATTTTAAAAACAATTTTGACCAAAAATTAATATGATGAACTAGAGTTTATAAAACATTACCAAAAATTACTATGTTCATCATACAATATTTTTCAACATACATGAGATAAAACATAATCATTTAGAATTATTCAACATTTAAAACCTCATGCATGTATAAACTAAATGAGCAACCAAATAAAATAAAAATATTAAGTTTAGAGGTTACCCATTCCCTTTTCATGTGTGGCTAGAGCATCTTGAATATCATCATCTTCATCACCATTGCTCCCACACACCTACAAGAGACATTTAAGAAGATTTTGATATCCAAATTGCTTTGGATCCGTGAATGTTAGTTTCAATGCCCCTTGTTCCTTTTGGAACCCATACTTGTCTAATTTTAAATTGTTTTCCTTTCTTTAAAGGACAAGTATGTTCCTTATGACCACGATAATGACAATGTGAACATATTGTCATTATTGAACTAGATGAATTATTTAAAATGATATCTTTTTCTTTTGTTAAACATTAAAGCTTAACTTTCAAATCGAAATTTTATTTTTCAATACTTTCAAATTTCATTTTTGAAAGCTCTAAATCCTTCTTCAATATTTCATTTTGATTTTCAAAATCCATTTTTGTTTCTAGAAGAAGTTTGTTTAATTTGAAAATTTCTTTTTCAAAGTTTTCAGATTTTATTTTTGAAAGCTCTAACTCCTTTCTCAAAATTTCTTTTTGATTTTCTAAATCTAGTTTGGCTTTCAAAAGAAGATCATTTTTAGCTATAAATTTAGAAATCAATTTATTGTATTTGGAGTTCATGGTCTCAAACTCCGAAAATAATTCATCATAAGCATCTTGTAACTCATTAAAAGATTTTAAATTTAATCTATTTGAGTTAGAAGATACCTTTGGCTCTGTTAGAGCTAATAGAACATCATCTTTATTAGTTTTTGTTCTTCCTTGTCTCCATAGATCTCCTCAAGCTTATCCCACATCTCCTTGGCACTTAAACAAGAAGAAACTTCTTTATATACATTATGATCAATTGCAC